AATAGTATTCCATTGTGTATATCTAACACATTTTCTTTATCCATTGACCCGTTAATGGACACTTAGCTTGTTTCCATGTCTTGGCTACTGTGAATAATGCTGCAATGCATGTGGGAGTACAGATTTCTCTTCAAGACACTGATTTTGGATTTTTTAAGATATATACTCAGAAGTGGAACTACTGGATCACATGGTAATTCTACTTTTAATTTTTTAAGAAACCTCTATATGCTTTTCTGTAATGTTTGCACCAACACACATTTCTACCAACAGTGTACTAGGGTTTCCTTTTCTCTACGTCTTCACCAAGGTTTGTTACCTCTTGACCTTTTTTTTTTTTTTCCTTTTTTTGACATAGGATCTTGCTGTACTCCCCCCACCCCCAGCTAGAGTATAGTGGCGTTATTATTGCCAGCTAATTTTTTGTAGAGATGGGCCTCACTCTTGTTCAGGCTGGTCTTGAACTCTTAGCCTCAGGCAGTCCTCTCACCTGGCCTCTCAAAGTGCTAGGATTATAGGCGTGAGCCCACCACACTGGCTTGATGTTTTGATAACAGCTGTTCTAACAGGTGTGAGATACTGACTGTGGATGTAATTTATCTTTCCCTGGACTAGTGATGCTGACGTGTTTTTCATACGTCTGTTGGCCATTTGTGTGTCTCCTTCTCAGAAACGTCTATTTGGGTACTTTGTGTATTTTTTCCCTGGGTGGTTTTCTTGCCAGTGAATTGTATGTATTTATATATTTTGGATATTAACCCATTATCAGATAAAGGGTATAATATCCATATAGTTATAAAAAAGGTAAAAGGAAAAGAAAGAAGAAACACTTTATGTGTTGATATGGAACAATCTTCAACTTATATCAAGAGAAGAAAAGGGGCAGTATAGGGTGTGTCACTATCTGTCATTTATATAAAAAATGAGAAAAAGCATATACATAAAATATCTGAAAGAACACACAACAAAATGATAACATTGGTTATTACAGAAGAACTGTATTGGAGCTGAGCAGCAGCTGCCCCCTAAAGACAGGGGCCTAGATTTTTATGTTGGTACCATACCCACCACTTCTGCCTCCCCTCATTAATACTTCTCTGGCCCCTCTAGGCATTTGGGGGAAAAATTAACTTCTTTTCAATGGAAATGAATATTTATTTAGAATGAAAAAGTAAACCTTAAGAAGTTACAAATCACACATATGATAAAGTCCTAGAAACACTGCGAAATCCAGAAAACAACAGATTTTAAATTAATTACCTGCCTGACAGCTTTGTTTCCTGTATTTATTGGCTGCATTCTCTGTGTATTTTATTATGACAGTGCAGTTTCAAATGACAATGGTTTCATAATATTTTCTATAGAGAGACTACAAAGATACTCAGTCTGGTTTTTAGCATATTTGAGTAAATGATTTTTTAAATATCAATATGTAGGTTACATAAAATATACACGTTCACACAGAGATATACAGGGTAGCCATAAAGTTCATGTGCAATTTTAAATAGTGTGCCGTTTATTGGTACGAGAGTATTGCTGGCTTCATACAACGAGTTAGAAAATATTTCTTCCTCTTCTGTTTTCTAGAAGAGTTTGTATAGATTTGGTATTATTTCTTTCTCAATGTTTGTTTTGGTAGACTTCACCAACGAAGCCATAAGGGCCTGGATTTTCTCTGTGGGAAGATTTGTAACTTATATTTCAATTAGTTTAATCAATACAGGGCCATTCAGATTATCTATTTCTTCCTGAGTAACCTTTGGTAGTTTGCATCTTTCTAGAAAGAGCTCATCTAAGTTTCCAAATTTATTGCTATAATACTTTTTATAATATTTCCTAATAATTTTAATATGGAAACAATGTTTTTAAAATTTAAATCTGATCGTGCCTTAACCTTGCTTAATCTTTTCTGACGTTACTTCAGTTCAGAGTCATATTTCCTGTCTTGGTGTACATGGTGCCTAATGATTGTCTTTCTCCTCCCATCTAACCTCGTCTCATACAAGATTCTTTGTCTTTCACTGTGCGCTGTATCTTAGATGTCCAAGAATTGTGGGCGATCTTCTGTGTTTTCAAGAGCCAAGCTCTCTAGATCTTGAGGGCCTTTACATTTGTTCTCCTCCCTTTCTAGTATTTATTCTCTTCCCCCAAATTGTGACAAGGTTTCTTATCTTTTGAGTCTCAGCTAATGTCACCTCCTCAGACCTTTTCTGCAGGCCACCCTAATCTCTAACCTTCCCTATCTCACGATCCTTTGTTAGAGCCATCACACTTTTTAATGATCTCACTAAATTAGTTGTATGTGAATATTCTGTCACTAGTATGTAAATTAGGAAAGGGCTCTCACCTGACTCATGCCTAACATAGTGAGTTTCGTACACTAAAGTGCTCAAAAAATAACTGATGGCTAAGAGAAGATGCAAAAGAATCTATTATACTGAATAGAATGAAGGAAAACATGAAGTAGCGGGCATCATTATTTACCTGAAGATGATAAAATCATCAGAAAGCTTAAGGGAAGGAACTCAGACTTAAAAGAGATAGGGAGGAAGATTTGTGTCACAGCAGCTCTGTTGTCTGGTTCTCATTGGTTTTTACATATCCTATCATGGTAACTCATGAATCTCAATCATGCAGTTACTATCTTTGGCATCTCCTTAATGTTAAGCCAAATTTTAATTATGGTAATAATTATTGTAATCATAGCTACCATTTATCCAGCTCTTACCATACGCCAAATAGTGTGCAAGTGGTTGTACGTTCATCCCTAAATATAATGCCAACTATTTTACATAGCTATTGTAACATTAATTAAGGGACACAAAAGAACGTACATTAGGTAGATCACTGATTTTTAAAAATTCAGTATAATTATTTTCTTTTGTATATTCTTTTAGTTATCAAATATATATTGAGCACTTACAGCATCTTATGACCTTGGGCAAGATATTTAACCTCTCTGCACCTCAGGTTCCTCATCCATAAAATGGAAATAATAATAGTACTACTTACATCAGGGTTAGTGAATTATTTGTGTAAAACACTTAAACACTGCCTAACATGTAATAACAACTTATGTAATAAGTTGTAGTACCTAAAAATGTTAGCTATTATTTTTTTCTTCCAGTGAAGAAGTCTATAGATTTCCTTACTGAGCAACAGAAAACATTTGGATATATGGCATAACACATTCCTAGAAGGTTACGGTAATGTAAAAAATAGCACATATTTCTAAAATAATCTGTTAATGAGGTAGAATTTCAAATGGAATCCCAGAGAGATTTTTAAAAATTGAAACTACTGAAAATAATCTGAAAGTTTATGAGACCAGCCTAGGAAATTGAGAAAAAGGAAAATAAAGAGACGGGATTTGCCCTACCAGTTACTGAAACATTAAAACAAAAATGTAGTAATTAAGACAGTATGGTACTGGCAGAGGAGAAAAGGAAAAATAAACAGAATTATTTGGAATCAGAATTAGCAAGCTAATGTAAAAATTTAGTATTGGACCAGAAGACATTTCAAATCAGTGCAGAAAGAATGGATTATATAATAAATAGTCTTGGGACACTTGGCTAGTCATTTGGAAAGAAGTTGGATTGCTATTTTGTTCTTTGTACCAAAAAATATTCCAAACTGAAGTTACTCCTCCTTTGCTGGACTGTCATTCCTCCTTTCTTTCTCCCTTATCTTCCCAGTGTCCAGTAAAGTGACCAAAGAGCATATTGAGTGCAATATCACCCTATTTGGCAAAGATGGCAATAGCACCATCACAAAACTTGGATCACTAGGTTAGAACATAATAGATACAGAATAACAATATGGATGATAAAGTATCATATACACATATTATTATTATGGCTAGACATTGTTGTCCGCGTTTGAATAGCTAGCATTTATACAGTAATACTGTGCTTCAGACAGTGTTGGGGTGCTTTACAGAGTTCAGTTCACTTAGTCTTCACATGAGGTAGTACGATAATTATCCCCATTTTATGGCTGAGGAGCTCTAGACACAGAGAAGTTAAATAACTTATCAAAGCTCGTGTAGTTGTTAAGTGACAAAGCCTGATTCCAACCCAGGCAGTCTGGCTCCAGATTGTATACTCTTAACTCTTACTACACTGGTTATCTGGGAACCTGAAAGATATGAACAGTGGAGAAGAAGTTTGTGAAATTTGACAGGGATCTTTATTTACATCAAAGAACATTTACTTATTGTCTCTCTGTAATTAACCCATGTCAAAAATACCTTCTGTTTACCCACTACACACAAGAAGAAACTGCATGTGTTTTTCGGTGGTCTTCTCCCCAAAAGTTCAAACTGTACGTCTGTTTATGATATAAGGACTTGGGATAAGTGACAAGAAAACAGTAGACCAGTGGTTCTCAACCTTCCTAATGCTGCGACCCTTTAATACAGTTCCCGTGGGTCGTGACCCACAGGTTAAGAACCGCTGCAGTAGACTCTTTAACATTCTCTTTTTCCATGATTCTTACACTGTTTTGTCTGCTCTGTTTCTGGTTTTCATGCAGTTTGGTAATTGAGCATGATCAAATCTTGAGGAACCTTATAGCAGCAGTCTCCAACCGTTTTGGCAATAGAGACCAGTTTCATGGAAGATAATTTTTCCATGGACTGGGGGTGTGGGGTGTGGGATGTGGCAGTGGGACAGGAGGTGGAGCTCAGACAGTGATGCTGTGCGGCCTGATTCCTAACAGTTCATGGACTGGTAGTGGTCTGTGTCCCGGAGGTTAGGGACTGCAGCCTCATAGGCAGTATTAATGATTTTAGGCTTTCTCAGGATGACAATGGGAAGTTGCTACTGAAGGGTATTTAAATAGGGTACTGCTATGATTTTAAAAGATTTCTCTTCCTGGGTACTCTGAAGAATTCAGGAGAGAATAGGAGGAGAAATAGACCCTTCTTTTTAGTTTGCATACCATCTCATATGGGTTTATTGCTTTGATTAATCTAAGATTTGTGTTTCTTTTCTTAGGTAACCCAGGTTTTCCTTCCTTTTATGTGCCATTTGCAAAGACTTTATACTCCTTGACAAACAGACGCTTTCCAGTTTGGATTATCAGTCATGCTGGTCATGTCTTGGCCCCCAAAGATAAGAAGGTTCTTACAACATCAGAGGGTATGTCCTTGTTAACATTGCCTTTCCTTTACAGTGGATGGGTGTTTGTGTGTTTCTAGAAAACCTGCTAAGGCTAAGAGTTACATCAGTGGAAACCTCTTTTCATGGCATCAGATTCACAGGGTCACCTTTTTGATAATTTTAGGGTTTTTAGAAACATTTTAACTCTTCTGCAGGCGATTTTCTGTAAGAATTTGGATAGATCCAATAATCTATGACTTACCTTTTTTATTTACCAATTAGTGATCAGATACCTGCTTTTTTGAGTGTGTATTATTCTTCCAGGGTTGTACTAAGAAGAAAGGTGGGGAAAAAGTATCATAAGTCATGTTCTTTACTCTAAAGAAGCTTTCTTGTGTTTAGGGAAGGATTTAGTGACAAACTCTGGCCTGCTGATGATGTAGATACCTATGGAGTCAGTAGACAAAGGAGAAAACAGTGTGGGTTAGAGAAGACTGTGGACTAGGGCATCTTACTCAGCTTGCACCACTGTAGCAGAATACTATAGATCACGGAGCTTATAAACAACAGAAGTATTTCTCACAGGTTCTTGAGACTGGGAAGTCCAGGATAAAGGCACTGGCACATTTGGTGTCTGATGAGGACCTAATTCGTGGTGGCGTTCTTCTTGCTGAGTCATCTCATGGTGAAGAGAGGAAGTGAGCTCTCTTGAGACTCCTAAAAGGGCACTAGTCCCACTCATAAGGCCTCTTCACTCTGACTCCACTCAATCCTAATTGCCTCAAAAACACTCTACCTCTCAATGCCATGACGTTTGGGGGTGGGTTTTCAACATGTGGATTTTAGGGGGATACAAACATTAAGACCATGACTGAGATTTGACAGTTGGGTAGGATTTGGGTTTGGAGGGTGGAGGTGGGTATTGAGGTATTATAGGCAGAGGGAGTAACACAGAAGGGAGTGAGATTTAGTGGGTGGGTTACTGCTTTGCAGGGCCAGCTTGTGAGGAGCTTTGAAAGCTGGGAAGAGAGCCAGGATTCCATGTGGTACACCGCTGGACAGCTTTTAAATGGAGGATGTAATACATATTTTAACTTACAGGACTTCTAGCATGTTCACACTTCCAAAATATAAAAAAATGAGAGAGGAAAAGAAAAACATAATTTAAATTCTCTACAGGCTTTCTATTCAAGAGTGTTTTGTTTGTTTCTTGGTTAACTTGAGGTGAGAGAGATGGCTATGGCTGCATTACCTAGTTTGCTCCTGGTTCCTGTTATGTCTCTCCTGTGGTATAAGCATCTTTTTATGCTTACTGAGCTTCTAAGTTTCAAACATATGCTACTATAAAGTTGCATTTTACATTTGTGATCTTTGATATTATATATTCATGATTATTTTAGACAATGATGTACAATTTGATGTACTCTATGGATGATCTAAGTGAGTAATCTGCAACCATTGTGGCACCAGGGACCGGTTTCATGAAAGACAATTTTTCCATATACTGGGGTTTGGGGGGTGGGGGTGGGACAAGGAGGCAGAGCTCAGGTAGTGATGTGAGTAATGGGGAGGGACTGGTTTCATACACAATTTTTCCACAGATAGGAGGTGGGAGAGGAGAATGGGATCTGACAGGAGATGGAGCTCAAGCCGTGATGAAAGTGATAGGGAGCAGCTAGAAATACAAGTAAGCTTCGCTGGCTCCCCTGCCCTTCATTTCCTGCTGTGCAGCTCAGCGTTCCCTCCCCCCTCCTCCCTCCCCCCACCCCCCACACCCCTCTCCCCAGCACTGGCAGTGGGGCAAGCAGTGGAGGGAGGGATGGGCAGGTGGCAGAGCTTAGGTGGCAATGCTGTGCAACCCAGCCCAGGGGTTAGGGACTGCAGAGCTAAGTGTTATTCAAGGCTAGTTTGGATTATGTTTATTTTTAACTGTGTATTCTGACTTTAGCCTCTGACCATCACGTCACATATAATGTTTTGTTTCTATTTTAAAATTTGAATATAATGACAATAATATGATTTCTATATGTGAACTCTTCTGAATACCCTCTAAAGAAGATTAGTTTATTAATCTATTATTAATTTGTGTCAGTGTACATGTCAAGTAATAGTACCAATTTATCCAGTTTTATCTAGTTTTTTGTTCTGTTGTTTTTTTTTCAGTTTTGGGCTGCGGCCCGGTTTGAACCCACCACCTCCGATATATGGGGCGGGTGCCCTACTCCTTTGAGCCACAGGTGCCGCCCAGTTTTATCTAGTTTTTAACCTTATGTTTTGGAGCTGACCTTTTAGCACTAGGAAGTAGTGTACTATTTTTTTATTTATTTGGAAAATGGATTAGCCTTTTTTTATACTAAAAAGTCATGCTTATCATTAAAAAATTTAGACAATATGGAAAATCATGAATAAGAAAATAAAAAAAATTAGCTGTCTGTAATTTAAAGGTTGAAAGGAATACTAAAACTTCATGTTTTGTTTTCATTACACTTAAACATTTTCTACCCCAAGTTAAACAAACATTAACCCTTTGGCACTGAGAGATGGTATTTTCCAATGCCTTTAACATTGTGCAGTAGCTCAGGGGTTTTCTCCAGGCTGACAGCAGCATCTGGGAACTAAGCGCCAAGGAGTATATTTTTAGTGCCTTTTTTTTCCTATAATAATGTCATGATGAAGTGTGTATCTTAAACCTTAGTTAAACAGTTACATTTAAATGTCTAGGGTTTTTTTCCCCCAACATTTATTAGCTTCTTATTTCCTATTTGAAAGGTGTAGTTGGTATATGTTATGTACCAAGAAAATATTTGGTATAGAAAGATTTTAAAAACAAATAATGGACTTTCAGTTTTAGCTCTAAAGTATAAAACATGGAATTTGATGCTTCTATTCTCACAATGAGAAAAAGCTGAACAGATTGAAAATCATGATTTTTCTTAGACCTATCAGACAATTGAGGTCACAGAACAAAGTGCCACCTAAAATCAGAGAGAAAAAGGAATACAGTGAAGATCAGCCAAAGCAGAAGATACTAGAGCCATGGCTGGTAGAATATGTAAGTTGTCATTCTGATGAACTGCATAAGGTGAAGTGCAGACTATTTTGAAAGTGAGAAAAATTTGCTTACATTGCCTTGGGGACTCCCCCACTTTCAAGGAAATTACTCCAGGTACTTCAGGTTCTTTTGTGAAAATCTATGAAAAATCTCCTAGAGTTTTTGTTAGGAATAGAACAGAAGTAGCCATTTTGCAGTCTGCCCAAAGCATTCTTTAGCAGACTATTTTGAAAGTGAAAAAAATGTGCTTGCTTTGTCTTGAGGACTCCCCCACTTTCATGGAAATTACTCTAGAACTTTAGGTTCATTTGTGAAAATCTATGAAAAATCCCCTAGAGTTTTTGTTAGGAGTAGGACAGAAGTATCCATTTTTCAGTCTGCCCAAAGCATTCTCATTAACAAAGGCCTACTCTTAAAGGGGAAAATGATGCCAGAGCCTTATCCGACCCAAAGGAAGGACAGTTAGCCATCTCTAGCCTTCTCTAGCCTTCTTGTCTCACATGCTGGTGGGCAAAAAAAGCTGACAAACACTCAAGGAGATCACAGCACTGGACTCAGGCCCACTAAAAGACTGAGGTTTAATCAAAGGTTATATATGGCTGGTCCAAGTGCAATGGTATTTACAACTAATTGGTCATAACCAGTTATGGATTCCTTTGTTCCTTCTCCACTCACACTGCTTCACTTGACTAGCCTAAAAAAAAAAGAGAGAGAGAGGGCGGCGCCTGTGGTTCAAAGGAGTAGGGTGACGGCCCTATATGCTGGAGGTAGCCCAGCCCCAGCCAAAAACTGCAAAAAAAGAGAAAAAGGGTTATAGGATGCCTTCCTTCCCCATATTTCACCACCTCATCAGCAAGTCTCCCCTGTAATAAAAGTGGATTATTTAAGTGATTTGTAGGAAAAACTAAAGATAACTAAGGATAAAAACAAGGATGCTACAGAAAACTGAAGCATCTGGCACTTATAGGTATAGCAGACATTAAACACAGCCCAGCTCCTAGCCACATTAACTTAAAGCCTCACACTAGAGGTCTGTTTACCTTAATTCCTGTCACCCAATACATCATGTCCAGCTTTAAACAAACAAACAAACAAAACAATAAGGCATTTTTAAAAGCAAGAAAAAACAGTCTGAAGAGACAAAGCAAGCATTAGAGCCAGATTCAGACACAGGCTGTTCCTGAATTACAAACATCCTACTGACATTCAACTCAGACTTACAAACAAAGGCCATTAGAGTAAGTCCTCAAGTTACAAACATCCTACTGATATTCAACTCACTTAGAAATGAAGGCTATTACAGGTAATAGGTAAATGTACCTGTTCCAACTTACATACAAATTCAACTTAATAACAAACCTACAGAACCTTGTAACCCGAGGACTGCCTGTATATGCAATTCCAAAATTGATTTTGGAATTATCAGATAGAAATTTGAAATAGCCATAATTAATATGGCAAGGACTCTAGTGGAAAAAGTAACATGCAGGAACAGATGAGTAACGCAAGGAGAGAGCTGGCAACGCTCAAGAAAGAATCAAAAAGAAATACTAGAAAGCACTATAACAAAAATGAGCTTTTGATGGGCTCATCAGTAGTCTGGATGCAACTGAGGAAAGACTGAGCTTGCGTATAGCTCGATAGACACTTCCCAAACTAAAATGCAAACAGGAAAAGTAATAATTAGGAAAAGAATAGAATATCCAATAACTGGGACAATTTGAAAAGGTGTAATATATGCATAATTAAATATCAAATTGAGAAAAAAGAGAGAACAGAGCAAACATAGTTGAAGTACTTAATGCAAGACAACAAAACACAGGTCTTGGAAACTCAGAGAACACTAAGTAAGGTAAGCAAATACTAAAAGTCTTCACCTACATAGGTCATATTTACATTGCAGAACACCAAAGACAAAGAGAAAATCTTGAAAGAGGGCAGGAAAAAACACCTTACCTATAGAACAAAGATGAGAGTAACAAAACTT